ATTATTAGTATTAAAAATATATAATTTATATACATGAAAGCTGTTGATGCGAAAATCTTCGCGACTCAGAACGATGGCGTTTACCTGCAAAACAAATGGACGTCCCCTCGAATGGCACCGGTGGGGTGTCAGCCGAGGACCCTCCGACGATCAAGTTAATACTTGTAATTATATCACATAATAATTATGTAATTTCTCTTTAGGGATTTTTCTCGTACATTCTTTAATGGCTTGGTATCCTATTTATGGTTATCGATCGTAATTAAATTGGTTGAGCCGATGTCGATGGTTGAGATCTCCCTTATCATCCGCTTGTGCAAATTGTGTCAAGGTTATTCTCACCCTGTTGAACTACGTCATCTTTCATTATCCTTGATAATGAAATATTATAATTCTTATCCAATGGAAATATCATCGTTCGAAAGTCGAAGACAAGTCGAAGAGGTCTGGCGGCTGGTAAATACTTAATTGTCTTTATCGTTAGGTCAAGGCTGGTTAGGTTTATTTTTTTCTATCAAAAGCCATTAGAGAAAGACATAGAATGTAAAGAAAAAAATATATATCAACAGGCATGTGGCCTAACGATATAAGACTCGTACCTTTTAAAGGAAAGTTAGGAGTTTGAACCTCAGTAGAAATAGTGTGTGTGAGTCCCAATAAGGAAAAAAAAGAAAAGAAAAAATATATGCAAACAAAAATGATAGAGAAAGAAAAAAATAGGGTTAATTACATTCACACCCCCTGAGATTTGCTCTATTGACAGCCAAATGAAAGTTGGAGGATTTTTGAACAATGACACCCCCTGTCAGATTTTGGATCCAAACAAAGCCTAAAAGTTGGTGAAATGTCTAATTCACCCTATAATATCTTATTAATTGTTAATATAAAATATCAAAAAAAATTAAATGACCGAAATGCCCTTATGCAATATTAATATTCATTTTTTACTTTTAATTTTTCTGACCTTTCTTCCCCAAAAGTCAAAACCATTTGAGGTCCCACTAATTCTTCCACATCTTGCTACGTGGGAAAGTTGCGATGAAGATTCAGGCAACAGAGATTCGACAAAAAAGCTCTGGCGACGACGAATCAACATGACGACTGGTTTCCGACGGTGGTTATTGGCAACGACAACAGCGAGATGTGATTCCAACGATGACAGCAGATTCCGACGATAACGCAACAGCGAAGACACTCCAAGGACGACAATTGTTGATGACGACAAAAGCTTGAGAAGATTCGAGAGTCAGTTGTGGCAGATTTTGGTGATTTTATTTGCTATTATTTAATCCGCTTTGTGATATGAATTAGGGTTTGGAGCAAACCCAGAGAAATGGACGATGGTGATGGGACCATGAAATTGGGGACTCTGAATTTGAAACCTAATCAGTGTTTCAATTTCGAGCCTAACGTTTATATTTTGTCGCCGGTCATTGCCAGTGCGCAGTTCATTGAGAACCATTACAAGAACTATCTCCAAGGCATGCTAGACCGTAATGAAAGGTTTTTTTTTCTCTCTCTCTCTATATGTATATATCTATATATGTGCGTAGAGAACAAAAAAAAACCTTTGCAATTTAGGTCCTTGTTTGCAGATGGAAATATATATATATATATATATACACACACACACACGAGTATGTAAGTGTTGATATACACATTATAAGGTTGGTTATAGTTGATAGTGGTGGGTTCGATTAGGCTCTGTAATTGGTGTCAGTCAGATGATAGGCTTAGCAACCGCCTTGATTCTATTAATGGGTTTTTCAATTTCTAGCTTTGTTCATTGTTTGAAGCTTGAGGTATGATTTAGAAATGAATTAACTACGGAATATACCTCCTTTTTTTTTTTTTTTTTTTTTTTTTACACAATATTACACACGTGTATGTGTATATATATATATATATATATAAAATTTAATAAGAGCATCAATGGAGGTGGAGACTCTGCCTCTCTATAGAACATCAATGGAGTCTCACAATATATATATATATATATATATATATATATATATATATATCTATTTTGTGGTTATGGATTGTTAATATAGTGTGAGAGAGAGGGCATTTAAGTCATTTTATGATATAAATATGGTTGTTGACAATTTAAAGGGTATTTAGGTCATTTTATCGTCATAGGATGTCGCATTGATGATTTGGGAGTCTTTTGTTAACTTTACCAAACTTAAGAGGGTGCTATTATTAAAAAAAAGATTAACTTTCATCTAATTATCAATAGAGCAAGCCTCAAAATGTATGGATGTAATTAACCCAAAAAAAAATATAAGGCTTTGCTAACCACCTGTCCTTGTGATTTGACAGTCGAGTTTCCTATTGCTGAGCCAACTTCTTCTCCTTTAATAATTGTTACAAACTTGCAATGATTGTATGGGCGGGTGTTAAATTAATGCCCCATTAAATGAACTCATTCATAAAGTCACAGTAATTAATTAAGTCAATGTATGGGGTTTGTGACAACTCTACCCTCGTAGGTACTGGGTATCGCACCTCTTCAATTTTGTGACGTTGAAGCCCAACAGAATCTTTAATGGCGAGTGGAGATTTGCATATCGATATGGGCATCTCGTTCATCCTTACCTACAGATCTGATTTTTTCTATGATGTCACTGGGAGCTCCTGCATAAGTAACACAAATGTCACTTTCATAAACTATTACCTTAAACATTTATAAACTTCAATTACTTCTTTCACGTGAAGAACCATACGAGATAAATTACTTCTTCCACATAAAGCAATGATAATTAAGTTACGAATCACTATCAAGACTTCAACTCCAACAATATTTTCCCCTTCTCATTACTCATGCTAGAGGTTAAAAGGGGTTTATATTAGTACTTTCTCATCTTTAGACTATAACGTCAATAATACAAATACTTATATGCCTATGCAAAAAAAAAAAAAAAAAAAAAATACAAATACTCATAGAAGTGTAATATGGGCTTGTAAGTTTTCTTGTTTATGGGAGGTTGAAGAGTCAATTCTAAAGTAGTGGCTCCAGCGAGCCTGCTTTAGTATATTACATACTCATAAAATTTTAGTGAAAAGAAAATGTTGGGGGCAACAAGTGATCTTTCTTAAGGGAGGAATTTAAGCGGCAACAAGTGTGACATGTTTTGGTAAACAATTTTGGACAGAGTAAGAGGCCTATTTTGTTAAACAGGATCCATATGAAAAAGGACGAGTCAGCCCAAACCCATCTCGTTCGTCCCGTTACCTTCCCTGGTTGGTTCCTTTGAAGCAAGGTACCTTCTTCCCTGGTTGGTTCCATTGAAGCAAGTGTAAATGTGTCTATTCATATTAAAAAATTAGAATAATCACTTGCCTACTTTCAGGTTAGACCTATACTTTCATAGTTTAAAATATTACACTGACCTCCTATCACTTTGTCCCGGTTTACGCCGGTTTTTGCTTAAGTCAGTTTCTTTTAGAGCGAAATGCCATATTTGCCCTTACATAGGTTGCAAAGACAATGCACCCTCACATTTTGATACAAAATTTACTTATATACCCTCAATATGGTGAAGAAAAAAAAAACTTCCATGTCCTCCATATATATTTTTACTTTGCTTGGGTGTCTACAACATTTACCAATCTCTCTCTATCCCTAAACATATGTACGAGCTTCTCAAAAAAATATAAAAAATTTGGCAGTGAAAAACTATTGTTATGTGTGTATAAAGAGAGAGTCTCAATCACATCGACCCTTACCAATCTTTCAAACTCGCCGCCACAAAAAGCCCGCCACAATCAATCCGCTCCTCCATGGTCCTCGGAATCATGGATCCCATATTCGCCACCGATAAGGTTTGTGTGCGACAGACAGTGATGAATAAGTGAGGGTTTTGTTTTTGATTTTGTTGTGGGTAATGAGCTAATCATGGTGGTTGTGAGGGTGAAGGTCGGATTGGTGATTTAATCATGCTGAAATACACAGGTGATTGTTGGGGTGGAGATGGCGACGGTAGTTTGGGGGTGGGGGATGGTGGTGATTGTTGGGGTGGGTATGTAGTGGTGGTGTAACTGGGCCGACTTTAATGGATTCAACTATGTTGGTGGGAGTGGGGAATGACGGTGGTGGTGGTAGCTATGGCAGTGGCAGCGGCAGTGGCAGTGGTGGTGAAGATGTGGGCTGAGTTGTGCCGGTGGTGGTGAAGATGGTGGTTGTGTTGTGGCGGCAGTGAAAATTGTGGTTTTGTTGTGGTGGCGGTGGTGAAGAAGGTGGTTTTGTTGTGGCCGTCCCGGGGGTGATGAAGTTGGTGGCTCTGTCGGCGGTGGTGAAGATGATGGCTCTGAACTTTGGCGACAATGAAGATTGTGGTTCTGCGCTCCAAATTTAGGCTCATTTACATATCAAATCATTCAAGGCTTGTAGGGTAAAAGAGTAATTTGATAGTAAATTATTATTAATAATTTAATAATAAAGATATATTAGTATATTCATACATATTTTTAATATAATTGAACGGTGATCAAATTGAAGTAAGCTTAGTGTAATTTTTAAAACATTAAGAATACTATTTGTAATTAAGCCTAACAATAATAAAAGCCACGTCACTTCTTAACATAAAAAATATTATTTCCAATCAATTGACCACACAATCTCTCTCTTCTTTACGTGTTCTATTTCCTCACCATTAATAAAAGTTAAAGTTACAAGAGACACGCAAACTCTCTCATCGTCCGGTGACATTTCATTTAAAAACACTAGTTTGAAACAAAAAAAAATTAATATTAACACCCATAATATAGTTCATAATAATGAATCATTTGTATTTTTCTTAAATTCTGTTAAATATGGAGATTTTCGAATATATACATATATTTTCAGCAATGATTAGGCTGTGTGTATATAAAACACAATCTTACGCACGCTAATACGCAATTAAAGTATGTGTTTTGTTTGTTTGTCCATTCTTGTTGGACTCAAACCCTTTCCTTTGTCTGCTTTATAGCTCCCCACTATTTTAGGCAAAACCAAACAGGCCTTAGAAAATTGCCCCACTCCCGCTATTGGGTCTCTCTTTTTCTTCTCTTTTTTCTTTTATGTTCCCAACATTTTGCTTATGCTCTTTTCAAGTGGAGGTGGGTGTGTGTTGAATGGAAGGTCGGATGGGAAGTGGAGGTCAAGAAGGTAATCTCGCCATGGCAAGGGTGTAGAAGATGATCCAAACAGATTTGAACTCCCAACCCAAACTTTAAAGATACACTCTTCTAAGATCACCAACCCAAAACCCCCCACGAAACCCAGAGACAGCCTCGCCGCTCTCTATTCCAGATTATATATGCATATATAACTCTCAAGGTGGGTGAAATTTCTTCCTTTTTCTTGATTGTTACTTTTTAGCGAGTACACTATTTTATTGACTATTTCTATCTTTGTTTATATCACTAATAGTTTTCCGATTGTTATTATTTTTATTTTTTTTATTAATGTATGCTGAATATGCTATGTAGGGCTCATGGAATGTCCTGTCCTTATTTTTCCTTCGTCTCCACTTTTGATTTGATGTGTGACTGATTGTGTGTGTGTATATATGTATATGTACATGTATATGTATATGTATATATTTGTTTATGACATTTTTTTGTGATTATTAGTGGCTGCTGACACATTTCATGTTTAATTTATGAACTTGATATATTTTTCTGTTTAAGATCTTATCCTCATCAAGTGTTTGATTTAAATATTAATCCTTTTTTGGTATTTGTTTTTTTGATGTTGTGATCTTGCCATATTGTTGAAATATCGTGTTTGTACTACTTGCTAACTATGACTATATTTTAATAGACTTATAAACTTCAAAACTTTCATTCATTGTGTCCTCTCCAACCCCTCCTCCTTTTCATCCTTCTCCTCCCAAAGGCAAAGGAAATAACTTCCGTTTGGCTCTGATTGCGTGCAAAGAAGGATCACGTGGATCTCTCACTTAATCAGTAACAGTGTTTTAGTATTCAGTTTAATTTATCTTACATATATTTTTGCTTTGTCTTGCACCATTCATTAGATGAACATCCATAATTGATTTACTTATGTTGCAGTATGTATAATCATCATTGCTTCCCGGGTGCTTAATTGATGAGTTGCTGCTTTCTTTTTCTAGTTCAAGAATAAAAATTCGACAGTACTTTTCTGTGTGTATATCAGATCGATTTTTCATTAAGGGGTTATGAATTCATAGCTGCTTGAAACTGACTCCCTTTGATTGTAATCTTCAGCTTATCCTCACACTTTCCACATATGTTGATTTCATAAATTTAAAAGGCTTTATTTCTTTTGTGCTTAAGTTTCTAGTGGTAAATTTTTGCACTGGTAGAAGTGAACTCAGGGATGCTCTGAGTCTGCGCGAGAATTGGATTACTGACTTTTGATGAATTTAGTGTCATACGTTGGGAAATGCTATTAGAGCCACTATGCACTACAATTATATGTTATGTAATTAATCCATGTATTTCCTAATATAATTTTTCCCTTCTAAGATACCCACAACAGACTAGGTTTTCTGTTTTGAAAGAGAGGTATTACAATAGTCAGTTTCTTCTTTGACAAACATTTTGTGTAGCGGATTATTTGCTAACATGAAGTGCTATTTTCATTCAAATGAGATTCTGATGTTGAAAGTAACATCACTCAGTCATCTTCTTATATTGTATTTGTGAGTGTTTGTGCCTTTGCATTGTATACCTTGATCTCTTTTATATAATTATCATGTTCTTTTAGTTCATTTGTGCGGAATAAGAATTTTATGGATGCAACAATTGCGGTTCTTCATGAATTTTTAGAAGACATTTAGTGAATAATTGAGGTTTTAGCTTTATACGAGCTTGCTTCATCTTTCTTGATTGTAGTGCTGGATTGATTATTGGGTCATGATTTTAGGTTGTGTTCATGACAATTAAAAGGCTGTAGGATTTTACAAATGAGGATTTGAAATCCAAGGAAATTCAAATCTAGTGATTTAGAAATTATTTTGCGTGTTGAACCAATGTCTCGCATTCAAAATCTTCCCTTGAATTTCAAACCCTGTTAGAAACTCCAAAACCCCACAGGTTCTTGAACAAAAGTCAAACTCTCTCCAATTTGAACGATATTGTTTTGATTTTTTCTCTGATACTTGTACTTTCTGTTCATACATGAGTTTAGTGATGCTGATTTAGGGATGTATAGGAACAATTACTAATCCCTTTTACTCAATTGGTGGTTGGGAGAAGATAATTTATGGGAAAATGATAACAAAACTGCGCACCACGGGGGCTAATATATTGTAAAAGTGAAAGAGAAATAGTAGTGTGGTTTTTCTTAACTAAAAGTACTCTGTAATTAATAAATCTTTGATGTAATGATGCTGTCTGTCAAAATTAAATCACAAATAGAGTGAAAATTCTCCAAAATTCATCTTTAGATCGGAAATTGGTCTTATCATCAGTCCTTTCTTTTGTAGAACACAGAGAGAGAGAGAGAGAGAGAGAGAGAGAGAGAGAGAGAGAGTGCGTGTGTCAATACAATCTGCAATAAGAAAGAGAACAAGAGAAAACTGGAATGGAGTAAAAGTGAGGAGGACAATAGAATTCATGCATAGGCAAGTCGGTGTGGGAGCTGAGAAGTGTATGGAATGGTTTTGTCAGTCTTTAGGATGTATTGTAGCGAACTCAACTTCATAATATCCACAAGGGAATTCTACAAATCTGGAAATTGTATATTTATATTACTAAAATCCTCTGAAAAGAACACAAACTTTTAGATTTCTGCATCATGAATTAACTTATGTCATTTTATAGTTTACTACTGCTTAGCATTTGCTCTTTCAAAGATTTGAATCTGCCAGGTATCTCAAACTATTCTTATACCCTGTGTCTGAATTGTTTGCATTTTCCCAATTAAGGGATCTAGCTGTTTTGTGTCGTTGAATAAAATTAATAGAAATTGGTAACGCATGAAAGTAAGAAAGGAACTATAGTATACGTGGTTTGCTCATTATCTCCTACATCCTCGGCATAATGCTAATAAGTGCCACTGTTTTGTTTGACTTCCTTCACTAGGTTACATTAAGGTATGAGATTTATAGGGAAATATAAGGTAATTCGATATTGTCCTGATTACAAAATGTTGTGCCTATATATTTTTTTCTTTTTTTCTACTAGCTTCTTAAATCATATATGTTGCTACTGCACACCTTTAAAACTTGTCAGAAAGTTAAGATGCATATATAATTTAAATTTGGATGTTTCTGCATTTGATAACCCCACTTATCACACCAAAAGTAGATGTGATATGAATTAAATTTGAATAATTATTCCCTAAGATGTAAGATGACAAGACTGTTAGGTTTCATTTGTCATTAACATCACTGTGTTGCATCTCAAATATAGGGGGAAAGTGAGATCTTTGTACACGAAACTACCTGATAACAAATAGTTAATCATATCCATCGTCTCTGAGAAAATTTCATCTTTTCAGTGGCATTGGTGCATTGATTTCAGCTCAATGCTCTTTCATTGGTTACCTTTCTGCACTTTGCTCTGCATTTTGTGATCATGAAGGTGAAGAGTGTACCTTTCTCTTCATCCCAATTTCCGATCCCATATCTTGTCACATTCTTGCCAAGTGGTTGAATCATTTCTCTGAAGTGCTCGAGAAAATTTTACTGTTTGATTATCAATGATTTGTTAACCACCCAGTACTCTCTCTCTCTCTCTCTCTTATTTTGGGTTCCAATGTTCTTGTTCTAGTTCATTGGGCCAATCCTGCCTCTTTTAAAATAGCTATGTCATCCATTCACCTGCAAAATTTGTTTTCTATGCCGTGCATATATGTTTTGAATCCACCATTACTGCACATCATTCTGATGTTTTTGTCTACTGATACATACTATTTTACCCGCTAACTTCTAACAAAATCGTGTCCACTTCCCTGATAGTACATTTGCTGATTATAATTGAAGTTCATGATCATTATTCTTGTACATTCAGATGGAAGGACATGATCATCAGCACGGACAGATTATCGAAATAAGTGGAGAACTGCCTGTTGTACAGGAGAGTCTTGGAGGGAGCAAGATATGTGGTGAAGCACCTTGTGGATTCGCAGATGCTGGAACCAGCTCCAAGGATGCCAAAGAACGATCCGCTTCCATGAGGAAACTTCTTATAGCTGTTGCACTTTGTGTTGTCTTTATGACTGTGGAAGTGGTTGGTGGAATTGAAGCCAATAGCCTTGCAATTTTAACTGATGCAGCACATCTGCTCTCAGATGTTGCAGGTTTTGCTATCTCCTTGTTTTCTTTGTGGGCTTCAGGCTGGGAAGCCACCCCCCGTCAGACTTATGGATTCTTTAGGGTAGAGATTCTTGGTGCTCTGGTTTCCATCCAGCTCATATGGCTGCTTGCAGGGATTTTAGTTTATGAAGCCATTTTAAGACTTATTGATGGCACTAGTGACGTCAATGGCTTTCTAATGTTTCTTGTTGCTACTTTTGGTCTGGTGGTAAATATTGTCATGGTGGTCTTGTTAGGCCATGATCATGGCCATGGCGGACATGATCATGGTCATGATGGTCATGATCATGGTCACACCCATGGAGTGAAGATTACCATGCATCCTCATCATCATCATGAGGGGCACTCAGGGGATGAAGAGCACCACCATGCTGATGAAGATCATCTTGTATCACTGCTGAAAAATTCTTCCCAGGACAAAAATGAACCAAAAAGTGATCACGAACAAAAGAAGCAACGAAACATCAATTTACAGGGAGCTTATCTCCATGTACTTGGGGATTCTATCCAGAGTATAGGTGTCATGATTGGAGGGGCTATCATATGGTATAAGCCAGAGTGGAAGATAATTGATCTGATATGCACACTCATCTTTTCCATCATTGTTTTGGGGACAACTATCAAAATGATACGGAACATACTTGATGTCCTGATGGAAAGCACGCCTAGAGAAATTGATGCTAGAAAGCTCGAAAAGGGGTTGTGTGAGATGGATGATGTGGTGGCCATCCATGAGCTGCATATATGGGCCATTACAGTGGGTAAGGTTCTGTTGGCTTGCCATGTCAAAACAAGGCCGGAAGCTGATGCGGACGTGGTATTGGACAAGGTGATAGACTATATTAGAAGGGAGTATAACATCACTCATGTAACCATACAGATAGAGCGCTAGTACCTATTGGGAGTGGATATTATCAACCAAATTCTATGGGTACTTGGGCCCTCTTTCGTTATTTAAAAAAACAGCTCTTTTCCTTTGTATTTTTTATCTTCCTCCTACGCAAGAGTAATTTTCTTTAGTCATGGGGTTCCATTTTTATTTCTTTACAATGGTTAGCTGTTTCTGATTTTAAGCATCAAAGTTGATTTTGGCAGCAGGTTCTATGATTATTGAATGTATTTCTTCTTACTTGGTGTTTAAGCTTACAGCCCATATAATCCTTTCCTAGTATCCCATTTACAAGGTTTATACTGATGGTGGAGACACACACACATTTCAAGTTTAATGGAATCTTTCTTTTGCTTCATTTCATTCAAGTTACCATTTTGGTGTCATAGGCATCTACTGTATTTTGTTATATTTATAGGTAGAAGCTCTCGTCAGTCTCGGAAAAGAGGGAAGTCATTCTCCAAAACCCTTTGTACCCATCAACCGACACTGTGAGTTGGGGCCTGCCATTTGCCACAATCCCTCTATGGTATTGTTGCGAAGCTCCGGGTACTACCTATTCGGGTACAATTCACAGCCTCACTGTTGAACACCTTTTCATTTCTTTGTTCTATTTCATTGCCTACATTCTTCTTCTTCTTCTTCTTCTTCTTATTATTATTATTATTATTATTATTATTATTGAGTTGGTGGGTAAGGGATTGGTTTAGGCAAGTTGAATAACTGTAGTGTACCCTGCTTGAAAGGGTACCGTGTCCTCAAGTGTATAAACATGTCATGTGAAAGGTATTACCTTACTTGAAAGGCATGTGATTTGATTGACTAAAAAATTTTAGATATGGATCAAAGAAATGGCTAGAGGCTGCAGAATGTAAGATGTGAGATGAGGATAAGATGCCCCTAAGTTTTTGATGCACATATATTTATAAAATAGGGCCTCCTTTGACAAGTTACTGCAATAATTTTTGTATTGTTAGCCTATGTTTGCATGATTATTGTAGTTTTTATTTTTATTTTCATATGGTATTAAATGAGCTAGAAGACAAGGTTACACTTCTGCAAGTTTTCTTGAGAAAGAGAATGCCTCTATCAGTGTGGTTTGAGGTGTCCCAGTACTTGTCTCTAAGAGCAAAATGGAGGCCACAGTTTGAACTTTGAGAGGATAAGGTTCTCAAGACTTATCAGAATTAGTTTGGCAGCCTTCAAGCATGGGATTGGATTTGTCTTTCTCTGTTAAATTTGTGCCTCATGTGTGTCTTCTTTTTCCTATGTGAACACGTCTTGATTATAATATTACCGACAGGAAGCCATGAGAGAGCTGTTTTGAAAGCTTCCCATGGTGTGTTGAGAGAGAGAGGCTACCACATGGTGAGGGCAGGGAAAGATAAAAATGAATAAAATTGGATAAATGCATGGGAGAGAACCTAAGAGCCTGTTTGTTTATTAGAAGGCTGATGGTGAGTGTTTTGATAGGAACAGAAAATGAGAAATTGTAAAAATAAATGGAGGACTGGTGGCCCAGGCTTTTTGACAAGGTTGTTTTGTTAGGCTTCTCAGACTTTGAGATATATATTAATCAATACATGATCTTGTTGTATTAAAGTATGATACTAGTATTTTCGTCCTAATTTTTATTTTTATTTTTTTAAAAAAAGATCATATTGGGAAGCTGAAATGACCAGCAGTGATCCGCTGTCCTCTTTTCTTTATAACGAAGACTGACATAACACATTATTTTTGGAATTATATTAGGTTCTCTGAAGCTGTGACATATATGGATGAAAGCAGGAAAGGTCTGTTCTAGGGCTTTGAAGACTACCATGGGGACTCCCACTTTGGCCAAGTAATTAATCTAGCGTAATGATATTTAGGTTGATTTAGGGTCTCTATCCATTTGATGCTGATGGATAAGTTCAAGGGTGGATCACATTTCATACATCAAAGGGATGAATTTGAGGTATGAAACCCCTTCTTTTAGACAGGTAGGTTTTGACAAATCGTTTTAGGAACCATTTTCCATTAATTTATCAAACAACCTTTATAGCTTTTGAAATGCAAAAGCTATAATCATCAAACACCTTTTTGAAATTCAATGTTTACATTGCACTTAGATGATGGGTACTTAATAATTGCTATAAAGTATGGTAAAAATGTAGATGATTGATTTGCTCCAGCCTCCATTGAACAATCAAAAGTGAATCAAAACTAGCTTTTCATTTGCTTTAAGATGGGCACTTAATCATGGGTACAAACAATGATTGATGGATTGCTAAAACAATAAGTGCAATGCTCAATCTTGTCCATCTCTTTCCCTCAAAGACAAAATTTGCTTCCAGACCACATTAAATTGCGTGTTACAATTGGCACTGGCCCAAACCCATAAATCTCTGCAATTATTGATATTGATGTATCTATCAAAGGTTGACCCCTCACCCAGGTCCCAACATTTAACTGAGACACCAAGGAGGCAATTGCCTCAGCAATGGCTGGAAAATTTATGTGTGTACTTGGTTTTTAAGTGTACCTATTTTGAAATTAAATGAAGCAACTGTGCATGGCCAGAAATGTCATACTGTATATGGTTACCAACTAGGTTTTAATAAATGTCTTGTTGTTCTATCTTCAATCTTCAAACTAGAATAAGAAGATACTAACAATAGAATTAGGGTAATGGGGAGATGAATACTCACAGTTTTGTATAATATTCACACCCCCAAAAGTTTGAATGAAATGGGGAGATAAAGATGAAAATCACCCTTTAATGAATACATTTAACTGTGTTTCACATCACTCTTAGTTAAGTATACCTAATAAATAAGAGTTTTCGTCTTTCTATCTCATTCAAACTTTTTGAAACCACTAACAATAGAATTATTCAACTGCTTGAACTTTGGTGTCTCTCATGCCTCACTTAGTATAGTGTTAAATACTTGCAAACTCATGTACCTCAATTGTTCTCTGGTCAACCTAATTGTGTATATAGTGTGTGTATGGTAGTGATACATACATGTGATGAAGGAATGGTCATTCATCAGATAACCGTGGAAGGGGACCTTGGAAACGTTCTATTTATTTATTTATTTTGGTTAAAATTGGAAACGTTCTATTTGCTGTACGTTTGGGGATAGAGAGAGAAAGAAGAGTGAGAGAGAGAGTCCCCACAACTCTGTCCCCGCTGCTGGACAAATCTGCCACGCCAATAATGCCTGGGACCTTGTTAAGCCAGACAACTCTCTCTCTCTCTCTCTCTCTCTCTCTCTGCATTGATCTCACCAACTCCTCTCAGGCCCCAAATATATCTGTGAGTACTAGCTACCTGGCTTTATATCTTCTCACTCAGATGACTATTTTCCACCCTCCATTTCTCACCACTTCATTTTCTGTTTAACCCTTAACCCATCTTCACCATTTACCTCTTAAAGCCCTATTTCTCTATCTAGTCATCTCTCTTTCTCTCTCTCTCTCTCTCTATATATCAACATCTCTCCATTCTTCAAAGCATTTAATTTATTTTCTATATTGAAGGGTATACCCAAACAGCAAAAACGAAGGAATATATATTAATTACTATTCTTTTGTTGGTATCACTATGGAATGTTGGTAACAGATGAAGAGAAGGAATTTAAGACATTGGTGAGAGAGAGAAGCAATTTATTGCTACAATATATATATATATATATATATATATATATATATATATATATAGTGTGTCTGTATATATATATTGTGGTATTACTCAACAACAACGCCTGCTCACTTTTTGCTGCAATGGAGGGGCTCCAAGGACCCATTAATCCCCGTGTATGTTAGCTCAAAATCTTCATACTTTCTTTTTCCTTCAAGAAATCTGAAAAATAAAAATGCAATAACTTCTCACTATGGTAGATATATAGCATTCAATGCAATAGGGTCATTAATTTTCCTGGAAAATACTAACATCTGCTGTGCTCTGCTGCTTTTCTTGTTAACATTCCATTCTTATTCTACTTTCGTTATCTATTTCTCTGTTTGCATTGCACCCACTCACCAATCAATGACCCCATATTCTCTCTCTTCCCCTTTTATTGATTGAAAATTAAGCTAAGAAAACTCATTTTCACTGTTGCTTTTTCTCATAAATGTATATGTATTATATGTATGTCTGTGTTTTTTTTGCAGTTGTTTGGGGAGGAGATTTTGGATGTGGAGTCCACAGAGCAAGACAGGGATTCTACATGGGGACTCAGTGGTTATGGACACTTTGTGGATGCAGAGAGCATGCTTTTACAACAACCATCGCAGTACTTGACATGGTTGGAAGATGACAAAATCCCATTTTTACAGATGTTACAAAGTGCTGATTCACCACCATTTGAGCCTGCTTTCTCTGAACCCAGCTTTCAGCTCCTATTGAGGCTTCAACACCAGAAAATTCCATGGAATCACAACCACTACAACCACCTCTCTGAAATGGGTGACCAAATTACGACCAAATATCGCACAATTCAAGCACTAGAGCACGAAAGCTGCGTCACCCACGACGTCTCCGACCTCCATTCCCCGGCCAAATCCGAGGCCGACGGCCACCGTCACTACCCACATTCGGCTTCTTGTGTCGACGGTGCCAGCTCCGACCTCAACCAAGACCAACCCACCTCCGCAGACAAGTTCAGCGGTGAGGGAGACTCGGTGGTTAGGCCTAGAAGTTCCCGGTTCTCTGTATCTCCGCCGGAGAACCGCGAACGAAGGAAGCGAAAGCGCACTAAGCTGGCGAAGAACAAGGAGGAAGTGGAGAGCCAGAGGATGACCCACATTACCGTGGAACGCAATCGGAGACGCCAAATGAATGACCATCTCAGTGCACTCCGCTCCCTCATGCCCACCTCCTACGTTCAAAGGGTATGTCTTTCTATATATATACACACGCATTGATATTTTTTTTAAAAGTTCTATAGCAATCAGTTCATTATTCTAATTTTTAATTTTTATTTTATCAAGTTTGATGAAATATGTTGCTTCCATGTTTGAATTCATGATGAATTTAGTTTTTTTTTTTCCTTCTAAAGTTTCATGAAATTTGATACTATGTTGTTTGAATGATGACGATTTTGGTGAAAAGGGTGACCAAGCGTCGATTATTGGTGGAGCAATAAACTTCGTGAAGGAACTAGAACAGTTGCTACAGTCTCTACAAGCCCAGAAAAGAATCAAGGGACACGGAGGAGGAGGAGGAGGCGGCGCCACCTCCTCCTCCGCGGCGGTTTCATTCGACGGTATGTTCGAATCATCCCCGCAACCCAAAATCAAGCAGGACGCGGCCAATTGCGCGGCGGCGGAAGGAGGGAGGAGCGACGAGTTCACGGCGGAGAAAAAGTCCGCGGCGGCGCACGTGCAAGCAAGGGTGATCCAGAACCACGCGAATCTCAAAATTGAGTGTAGAAGAAGAGCTGGTCAACTACTGAAGGCCATTGTCGCACTTGAAGAGCTGAGACTCACGGTGTTGCACCTAAACATCACGTCCTCGGAAACATCAGTTCAGTACTCTTTCAATCTCAAGGTATCAATCAATCGAATCAACCTTAGTATTTTATTGCTGTTCATTCTTTTGATTCCACTTTTGGGTTTTTGGTCAACCATTTTGACTTTGAACCAGCCCAACGAATCAACAACTCTTCCTTTCTGATCCTGACCAACCTTCAAGAAATCCAAACCCTAAATCTTATTATAATATTCATTTCTCTTCTGGGTTTTGCCTTTTCATGTGTGTTTGACTAATCAAGTACTTGACGTTGGTTGAATATGTACTGATATATATATATATATATATGTGTGTGTGTATATATTTGTATAGATAGAAGATGATTGCACGGTTAGATCAGTGGATGAGATTACAGGAGCGGTTCATCAGATATTTAATTACATCAACTGCAGCAGCTGCTGATGGATCTGATTTGATCTGAATGGGATTATGATGGTGGGGTTGTAGCCATAAAGCCAACTACATTTTGTATTTTCTCGGAAAGAGTAGAATGAAAAAGTGGGTTTAGAAAGAAAAGAAAAAGGTTGTGTCAGTAGGGTTTTGGGTGATGGAAGATGGGGAACAGTGCGCACCCCAGTTGTCTCCATCTGCTTTTCTGTACTCTACAGAGAGAAGGGGTGCTGCAGGAAAAGGCAGAGAAGGGGACTCATTATTATTTACTGCTTAAGCTTAGCTTAGCTTAATATATGTAGAATATTAGCATTTGCAATTTTTTTTTTTTTGTGTTTTGTTTATTTTTATCTATATTTTGAGTGGAAATTTGTAAGATTTTTCTTCAATTTTCTTAACCAGTGCAAACTTAATTCTTTATGAGTCTTGTGTACAAAGGAAATGAGATTGACCCCTTATTTTAAAAAAAAAAAAACAAGTGATTGACCATAAATTTCGGGAAAAAAAAAATGATAAAAAAAAGAAAAGAAGTTATACCTTCTAAAAAAACAAGCTACAATCAACTTAAGATCGAGATCATCTATGTTATAAAATTTTGTATGCCATTATATTAGGAATGTAATATCGGTTGAAGTAACCTTATGTAAATAATGTATTGTATGAGTATTGTATATTTAAAATAAATTTGTCATATTAATAAGGTACATAACAAAATCCTCCCTCTAGGAGTATAGGACCAAGGTTTGCTCTAAGGAAAATTATAATTCATTACATTTATCATGATTTTATATAATACTGCAAATAAATCCGTTACTTATCACAATTTAAGCCTTCTTTTTTTTTCGTATCACAATTTAAACTTGAGTAGCTTTGACTTCTAATTATGCGCTTTGTTTGTTCTTTAGAAATTTAACTTGAGCTCAAGCTTTGTTTGTTATACGACACGCTGACCAAACTAGTCAAACTTGAATATTATTCGATTCGGTTGTGAATGAAAAATCAGTACAAGTCAGGTTGCTTATAATACATGTATATTTTATAGAATTGTAACAAGTTTGATAATGGTAAGAGTTAATATATGATACAAATAGATAAAATTAAGAATATGATACAAATAGATAAATAATAACGAATCCGTATCAAATGGAGTCATGTGTGAACATGTCCAACAGATTCAAGACATTAAAGATATTTTATTTGTATGCATGACAAAATATTCCATTCCGTTACATCTCACCTCGTCTATAACGTTTATTAGGGTAGTTAAATGATTTTGGTGCGAGAATGAAGCTAGGATTAAAAATTCGTAAGATTTTGGAGCAAGAATGGAAAAAAGTCGTCCTGTTTATTGTGATAAAAGTACAATTTTATTCTAATACTTTATTTTATATTCAATAATGTTATATATATATATAGCAAATCATAATTTATTCCATTCTAATCACTAAATATTATTTTGCATTATTTTTATTCGAGAACTTCTATGTATTATTTTGATATTCCAAAAATAATATTAAGTCTCAAGTTCTAATTGAGAAGTTGAATCTTATTTGTATCTGCATAAGAGAAAAAAAAAAAATTATCATAGTTGAAAATTTGTTCCATAATTTACTTTTGTTAATTTCGTAATACAATTATTCAAAAATACTTAACAAAACTCATCCCCGCCTCTCCCCAGTTATACTAAACGGGGAAGACGATGACGATCATGATGTTTCCCGCCACAAACCACCTCGTTGCCATCCTTAGTCATCACCTACTCAGGATAACACTTACCTACTCAATGGTGAATAAGTCATCCCTACTAACCGCTGATATGATCCAATCATAAATGCACACGTATATGTGATTACAAAATCAAGAAAGTGATAAATAAGGAAATCAGAGAGGATTGCTAAATATATTAAAAAAAAAAAAAAAAAGTGCTTATTTATCACATTTTTACTTTTGTAATTGTAATGACCCGGTCATTTTCTTTCATTTCATTTTTCTCAAATTTTACGGATAATTTTTTTTCCGTTGTCTTTTCTTTTCTGAGTTCGGTTTCTCATCACTTGGTGTCGTTTCGAGTGCTCAGGAATGGTTTCCGAGACTCTTTTCTTTGGATTGACAACTTTCTTATGAGAACCGCATTATTTTCACATTTTCGTTTTTTGGCACTATTCACTTTTCGTCTTTTCCCCATTCGTCACCTTTTTGGCGTAACCTCACTTTTCGTATTCGGAGTTGAGTTTTGACTTCATGAGTTTTCATTCCAGTTGTTTTCCTCGAAATACGTAGTTTTACTTTTGGAGAAAAGCTTGCCGGTTGTTAATTACTTTCTCTCGTAGGAGCGTGGATGAAAGGATTCTTCGAAAACATTTATGTTTCTTGGGGTGTTTTTCATAAATATCTTTTGGAGATATTTTGATTAGGGGTTTTTAAGAAAATATCTTTTGGTTCTGGATCAGTTTTGCAGTTATCCCTTTTTGTAGGGACCATTGTGTAATTAACAAAAATTATTGTAAAATGCCTCGTTTTGAGCCTGGATCTTCGTACGGGATTTATTTTTACTTTTCGTTTAGTAGCGTACTCTTAGAATTGTCTTCTGGTCGTTTTTCCCCGGTTTTAGGGTTTCTGACCCCGGTTGCCGCCGAACTTGTTTGGGGCATATCTTTCTGCACGAGACTCGGTTTTCGACGTCGTTTCTTCTGTTATTTATTTTTTTCTCATTTCGGTTCTTTTTCATTCACGGTGTTTTACCATTTGAGGGCGTCTGCGCAGATTTTACTTTTCCATACCTAATGGGACCCGTTCAAGGCACTTTTAGGGTTTTTCTATAAATAAACAATTCACTCATAACATTCCACAAATTAGACACCATATAAATTTAACAAATAAAATTACAAAATATAATTTAATTAAAATAAGACAATTAATCTACGCACTTAATTAAATAAAATAAATCATTTAAAAATAAAATAAAAGTAATTAATTTTAATTAATAAATCCTTTAAAATATCGGTGTATTACACTTGTTTTATAAAAATCATAAAATATTAGATTTTAGAAATTTTGAATTCGACCCATTTGTTAATGGAACCTAGGTGGACCCATCTAGAAAAAAACTCTCAGATACTCTCTAGCAAACCCTAAATGCCGCTGGTTCCCACCCTTTCTATCTCTCTTTCCAATAGGAATGACAATTTACCCCACGACAATGGGTACTCTCCCTGTTTATAGCAATTTTGGGGGACCTTTTAGCTTATTTGGGTGGGGATAATTTTTATTAATGAAAACCTACGTGGGTTCGGGGTGGGGCGAGGGCAGGGGACGTCACCCCGCCCCGCCCCGTTTAGGTAAGTAAATTACTAAGTTACTCTTATTTTATTAGTATATATAGTTAGCTCTAAAAATCCTAGGCCACATTCACTCACTTCCTTTGTTGTTCTAGAGAGTGGTAGAGCTCTACAAATTAAAAATGCTCATACCTTTGAGTTTTATTTTAAATTATTGATTGTCCATTTTTTATGATTTTTTTCAATAGTTATATAATTGTATTTTAGGAAAATAAATTTAAAAAATGAGGAGAAATTTTGGAACTAAACGGGACGGGACGGTTGCCTGTGGGGGGTGAAAAAGTTAAACGGGGGCATAGATGGGGTGGAAAGGCCCCCCGTTTAGGCAGTTTTAGGCCGAGACGAAGAGGGGGTTGCTAAACGGTTGCAGGGACGGGGGAGGGTACACCCACCTAAAACTACCCCTGTTGCCATCCCTACTCTGCACCATCGTTCCCCTCTCTCCACACCCACCTTTTATTCTTTCCCTCCCTAGATTTCTCAATCTTTTTCTCACATTTGAAAACCTAAATTATCAATTTATTCCTCTTCAAATTCAATAAAAATATAGCACAATTGAAATTCTCATATGTGATGTGGTCTTTTGTCTTTTTTGCCCAAATAAGGAATGAAAGTTCTAGTCGGCAAAAAAACACACAGTGGACAAGTTCTTCGGCGTCGGAAGTGGTTACGGTGGTGGTCGAGACCCAAAATAGAGGTTAAAATCATCGTTTAATTGGTTGACTTGGGGTTGTAGTTGTAATATGGCGATTGAGGATCATGAGATTCAACTTGGGTACTAAAAAAATAGTTAAGTTTGAGAAAATAAAGAATTTGTATATTGAAGGAGTATCTAGATAATATGGATGGGTTGGATGCGAAGTGAATGGTGGTAGGTGTTGATGTATTTTATAGAGGTGAAAAGAAAAGCCAGGGAAATATACATTATTTTTTTAAAAAAATTCAAATTTATTTTTTGGGCCAATACCGTATAGTGCCTTAATGGCTATCATTCATGTATATACAATAAATAAAAAACATAATTGATTTTGTGCCCATAAAAGCCAGTCGTTTTGGCATTGTTTGTGTTAGCCAAATCGTGCACTGACGGCTCGTAATTTGGGAAAAAAAAAACCAAAAAATGCAAAAAAATAAACTGATTTTTGACCGAAACAAGCCTTAAAGTTGTTGCACGGTGCTCTGGGCCTATTCTTTTCTTTTCTTTTTTAATAATGCTTTGGGGCTTACATGCGCAGGCCAGCGATTGCACGTTAAGTCGCTGAATTTGGCAACCCATTTCATAATTCAAATTTTGAGACCTCATTTTTGGTGAGTCAATTGTAGGCGTACGCCAAAAATAAAGTTTGGGCTAATAAAACTCCATTTTCGCAAACTCGATTGAAATTGCTTAGATTGCGTTCGGTTGCATAAAATTAAAATTAAAATTAACGATAAAAATTTTAATTTAATTTTTTAAATTATTTTTTTCAAATTCCATCAATTTTAATTCCAATATTCAAATTCAAAAACGAGAGTAATAGGAATAGGGTAAAGTGCAAAAAACCCCCTTCAACTATTGGCCATGAAGCAGAAACCCCCCTGATCTACTAATTTAGCATATAACCCCCCTGAATTAACCAATTTGGTGCAATTAACCCCGTCCAGTGATAATCCGGTTGAATTTGACCGTGAAGACGCACATGATGGGTCACATGACTACCCAAATTTCTTTTAATGACCATACAACTCTTTAAGTTAAGTGAATCAAATGACACATATACCCTTATTATTGTCTAGTCTCGGAATAGTGCTCGAGGTGCAACCAAACAAGGCCTAAGTATCTGTTATATCCTATTGTAAAGCCCAAACACAATATACAATCCAAAAAATGATTAAAAAAAAAATATATATACAGATCCAAAATCGAGCAAGAGGGTCGGCTGTGAAGAGGTCGTCTGGTGAGGGTTCGACCGTGATGGTTTAACCGGCGATGAAATTATCAGTCGCCACCACTGTAGCAAATCGATTTATTGACGACGATTTGGTAACCACCTGTAAATCAAGACCGGTGGTCGTGTTGTGCGTTCTTGGCTTTCAATTT